CTTCACTATCAGTGTACTAGTAAGTCTTCCCGGCAGAGCTTAGGGATGCCCCACATCTCTTCGGTTCCACCCTCACCCCAACCTGGACAGAGAGACCTGCAGTTTCTACACCTGCCTTCATTCTCACTGTCTATAGACCAACTTTATTATTTTTTAATTTGATTTCAGAGAGGAAGGGAGAGAGAGAGAGAGAGAGAGAGAGCCAGCCCACTGGGAATCGAGCCCACAGCTCGGGCATGTGCCCTGACATGGAATTGAACCGTGACCTCCTGGGTCATAGGTCAACACTCAACCACTGAGCCACACTGGCCGGGCAATCAACTTTATTTTTAAAAAAATTATTTTAATCCTCACCCGAGGATTTTTGCTTGATTTTAGAGAGAGAGGGAGGGGGGGAGGGAGGGAGGGAGAGGGAGAGAGAAAAACATCAGGTTGCCTCCTGTATGCACCCCAAATCAGGAATCAAACCCACAACCTTTTGGTGTATGGGAGGACATTCCCACCAACTGAGCTACCCAGCTAGGGCTCAATTTAATTTTTTTAAGTGAATTACCTCTGAGACTTCCACCAAAGGCAATTCTTTGAGTTCTATTTACACTTTCTTAATCTCATTTCTATAGCTTCTCATTTTGTCACATTCACACTGTATCCTGCTGGATCTCAGCACTCAGTTCCTATGGGGACTCGAGGCATGTGAATTTCACAGCAGCCATTGTAGAGGATTCCCTTTCTCAGAAGGTATATCATCCCCAAAAAACAGCAGACCACACTCTGTCTGCCATTAGCCCCTGGAGACAGGACAGTTGAAAGAAAGGTGGGTAAAATGAGGCAATAAGAACAAATCAACAAATGACAAGTGCTGGCGAGGATGCAGAGAAAAAGGAACCCTTGTGCACTGCCGGTGGGAATGCAGACTGGTGCAGCCACTGTGAAGAACAGTATGGAGTTTCCTCAAAAAACTAAAATGGAACTATTTGACCCAGTGATCCCACTTCTAGGAATATATCCCAAGAAACTAGAAACACCAATCAGAAAGGATATATGCACCCCTAAGTTCATAGCAGCACAATTTACAATACCCAAGACTTGGAAAGAGCCTAAATGCCCATCAGCAGATGAGTGGATTAAAAAACTGTGATACGAGGAGATTTCAAGATGGCAGCATAGATAAACACCTGTACTTGCTGCCTCTCACAACCACATCAAAATTACAACTAAAAGACAGACAACTGTCATCCAGAACCGCAAGAAAGCTGAGTGGAAGTTCTACAACTAGAGGTAAAGAAGAAAGCACATTTAGACTGGTAGAAGGTGCGGAGGCGCGGAACAGGCTGGCACCCGGGTGCACTGCTTTTTTAACTGGGAGGGAGATACAAGCGCCCGCTTGCTCTGAACTCCAGTTCTGGACGAGACTCTGGGGGACCCAGACACATACGGGAAGAAACTGGACTGTCTGGCATTAGGACAGGAATGGGAGGGCGGCTTTCTTTCAGACGGAGGTGCTCGCAGCTGTCATTTTTCCTGCGCTGGGACCTCTCCGGTGCAGGGCTGACTGGAAGCCATTGCTGTTTGCTCCACCCAGGAGATTCCCTGAGACCCCACCCCACCGAATTAATAACCCGACCCAAGCTGTGCACAGTGGCTTTTGCATATGAATGGCCTGTCCTTTCTCAGCCTAAAACCTGTCAAACAGGCAGCAGCAGCAGAAGCCTGCCTTGCTACACAGCTGGGCCTCCTCTGGGCACTTCCAAACCTGGTACAAAGAGGAGGAATCTGCAGATCTCTCTGTAGCTCCTGCTGGGTGGCCCCAGGCAGTGGCTGACTTTGCACCTCCTTGGAGATCCAAGAGCCATTGTACCCAGTTGTCAGTATGAGAACATACCAGATTACAACTCTTCACATTCCTAAGAGACACACTCAAGGGGCAGACACAGTGAGCACCAAAGCCCCACTGAAGCAAGTCCTGCCCCATAAGGGTGTCTCCTGCACAGCAGCTCTTCCATTGTAGACACAGCTGGTCCTCACAGCCAATTGGTCTGGAGGTCAATTCCTCCCAGTGATTCCAATAGCAATCAAGTCTTAACTACAATAAGACTGTGCACATGGCTCACAAAGGGGTACACCAAGAGTCTCCACTGCAGGTGATCAGGGAGGCTGAGCCACTGGGCCCTATAGGACACCTACCACAAAGGCCACTCTATCAACTCAAGAAACATGTCACAAATGAAATAAATGGATGAAAGCAAAACACTAGATATAGAGTTCAACACCACAGTTATAAGGTTACTCAAGAATCTTCTAGAAACCTCCGAGGAACTTAGTGAGACCTTCAAGGATCTTAGTGAGAATGCCAAAAAAAAAAATGGAAAAGGACCAGTCAGAAATTAAGCATACACTGACTGAAATAAAGAATAATATACAGAGATTCAACAGTAGGCTAGAGGATCCCAAGAATCAAGTCAAAGATTTGAAGTACAAGGAAGTAAAAAAACACCCAACCGGAAGAGCAAAAAGAAAAAAGAATCCAAAAATATGA